GGAGGACTAGCAATCCCTAATATTAAAAAATATAATTATGCTGCCATCCTTAAACATATCTCTAAATGGTTTAAAATAGAATCTATTCTTGATAGATTCTTGATATAATATTGAAATTTTTTTGTTGGAAATATCGTATCTTTCCCTGTTAATGTGGATTGATCCCAAAAGACTTGGTATTGATAGGTCTACAGGTATCAATGGTGGGAAAAACTATTTTACCTATCAAATTCTAAAGTTCTGGTGTAGATTCAAGATAGAATACAATTTGTCATGGGATAACATTATCAGATCTAAGAGCAGTATAAGCCTCTAGGAATATAATATCGAGGATATTAATCTCTGTACATGGAAAAAGAATGGCATAAAGGTTTTAACCAATATTTCAAATGGTTCTTATATAAAATCTTTCCGCAAAATAGCTCTTGAATTCCATATTCCCCCAAAAGAAGTTATCCGCTATTTTAGAATTAAAAGCTATCTGAGAAAATTTACATGTAAGGAAGATAACAAAATCAAGGGCTTGGATTACTTATTGAAATATGGAGATAATGTTAGAACTTTGATGAGAAGTACCATCTTTGATGATGAAGATCTATCTATAACAGACCCAGTTATAAGTATAATAAAAAAATTGGAAAGACGATCTTGAAATAGAGATTAGAATTTTGGACTGGTGTAAGATTATACCAGAAGTTAAGAAATGTATACTTTGCTTTAATCCTATAGAACTACAGTATAAGATACTAACTAGATGGCATTTTGTTCCAAAGAAAATTAATAAGATGTTTTCTACATATTCTTCTCTTTGCTGGCATTGTAACGACTTAGAAGGTTCTTATACTCATATTTAGTGGAACTGTCTGAAATTAAAACCTTTCTGGGAACTAACATATAACATATTAGAGATTCTTACAGGTTCTCCCATGATTTTTTGACCCCTGGGACCCCGTGATAAAGGTTCAAAATATAGGATATGCTCGATAATTATGGTCTGCACTATGAAGACTGGTGGTTTGAAACTTTTTTTTGTATATTTTAATGATTAGAGTCCATCGGTTAAGTCTTGTCCTTTTTGTCTTGTTTGTTAATGTTTTAAAATCACCAAGTGTTAAAGTATAGTGTCCAATGTTTAACTTGTTTAGTAATCGTACTGGGATCTGCAAAGTCGTTGGAATGTCAAATATTGTATTTTGATGATATGTAACTGTGCTTTTTATATTTGTAAAAATCAATAAATATATATAAAACAAAAACTAATACCGTATTTACTCCAATTTAATGCGCACCTTTTTTGGAAATTATATTTTCAAAAATTAATGCACATTAGATTCAATTACATTACATTCGGGGCAAAATGTGACTTTTTCTGGCGAATTTCATTTCGTTGAATTCACACAGGCAAATTTTGTTCCTGGAAGAGGGCTCAAGAAAGAATAGATTTAACATGTAACACTAAAATTGAAATGTCATCAGTTGTTACTATGGTATATGGTGATAAACATTTTCATTGAAGCACAATGTTGTATAGTAGTATCTTCTTGTATAAATGTGCATTACATTCAACAGCAAACAAAATGCTCAGTTTCCAGGTTTCAAAAATTGAGGTACGCATTAGATTCAAGTAAATACGGTACTTATCTGCAATGTGTACTTGAACCTGCTCCAGATTCATGCTTTACGTTCTTTACTATTATGTTTATGGTGGGCACTGCACATTTCTGGTGAAAAATAGCATATGGTGGCACTTTCTTACACCCTAAAAAGTGGAACAGAAACCTAAACACTTACCGTTAGCAGTGAATAATATAGCTGGTCAAAAGTTGTATTACAGCACAATCTAAACATGTTACAAAATGTACAAAAATATAAGCAATAGTAAAAAATGTGAAATAAAAATGTGTAACAAATGTATTATTATGAACTAAACTCACAAAATAGAGAGCCAATCTGCCTATTTACAATTGGTTTAGGTGGGAAGCATTTCTAGACCATTGCAGGTGGTCTTAAGCCTTCTTTAAGTTTTATTAACTGTGATATATCTGAGCCACACAATCGGCTATGACTTTAAAAGCCCTGGTGTCTACAAACGAGTGACAGCCCTCCCTCATCTTTAAAGAGTTTGTATTTTCCACTTTGTTTTCATAAGATATTTACCTAATATATGACCAGTCAACAGTGTAGGAAATAGCAAAAAATTCAATTCTGTAATGCTCATCACACGGCTAAAACTCTTTAGGCTTTTTTTTACACTATAAAGGTGAGATTTGTTTACGTAATACTTAAAACACCCAAAACCTTCAGTTTAAACCACATCCTTATTTTAAACCTCAGCAGGAACATAAGCGTGATCATTTATTGCACCTCAGCACAACCTGTATACATGTGGTTTAAGTACTTTTCACTTCCTGAAAGTCACTTTTCTTTCTACAATAAGGAAACACTTAAACATTTGACACTTAAACGTGTGAGTTAGTCATATTTCTATTATTAAAACAAAAGACAAATAATGATTACACCTCACTGTGCATACATACGAATAATACTTATATCAAAATGGCAATGTCCCATGCAGATCTGTAAAAACAAACAGAAGACAGGAGATAGTGCTTTCTGTAAATTTTGTAAAATATATATAGAGTGTGAGCCCTCCAGCAAAATTATAGAATGATACAATCAGTATAATCCGTATAAAGTATATATTATAATGAGACAAATACATAAAAACAACCCAAACTGCTCCAAAAGATATGTTTAAAACATGAAAAGCAACACTGATACAATTCGTAACATAAAAGGTAGTTATGCTGTTTAAAAAACTACCACCCAAATATATGGCACTGAAATATGGTATTGATAGAATGCTTATCCATATTCTTCTCCATTACCTGGTTATTATATCCATTTTGGCCAGCTCTTACTATTTGTGCTTCTATTGATCTCTATTCTTTTATCCCCTTCTATTTACACAAATATCAGCTACGATAGTAGTACTTTAGTATTTATTATATATTGGATAAGTCCTATAAATTTTGTTATTTTATTGTATTTTCAAGTTTGGAATTCATACTCAGATCTTGAATTAAATAAATAATTATGTTTTATGTATTATGTTAGATATCCTTTTTTTTATTTAATTTGTGCTTTTTATTTATCTAATTGACTTAGCTCCCTTATGTACCCCCTTGACCCGGGGGTATGTAAGGCTAATTCACAGATAAGGACGTAGTTTTGAAAAAGAGACGAAACACGTAGACTCATTGGTCTACATCTTATCCCGTTACACTGCTCCTTTCCCTTAGCCGCGGCCTTTTTGAAGTTACCGGCCGTTGATTTTTCTACACGCTGTCACCTGTTGTGCTCACCCATCGCACCCCCCTGGTTAGTGGTGGTCCATCGATCAGCACAGCTCACCACGTGTTAACTGTGAGCTTTTGTGCCGTTCTACCAGGATCATCTGGGGTTGAGCTCGCTGGGCATCTCAGGATCATCCATTAATCTCCTGCACATACTGGGTCCAGGACTCATGGAGGGGCCCCTCCATTGATAAGTACCTTAACTGGAGAATTGTATTTATCCTTATGCCCATTCTGGATTTTATGTATTATCATTGCGGTGTTTATTTCTTGTACTAGATATTGTTTTTTTAGCACATCATACAGTGCATTGTGTTGTTGATATACCCCCTTTTTTATACTTTATTTTTTTAAAGTCTCTTTTCACCTGCAGTTAGATCAAGCATATCAAACTCAAAGTCTAGCACAGGCCAAATAAACAAGGTTTAAGTTTATGTGGACTGCAAAAAAAACCTTAAATTGTCATAGAACGTAGGTTTATTTTGAAAAGTACAGTATAAAAAAAAAAAAAAACAGCATCCCCCTCTACTAAACCACAACACCCATATTCTATTACAATCAAATATGATAAAAAGTACAGTACAGAGATTTGTTCTACCCAGCTGAGGAAGCCTTTGGGGCGAAACGCGTCCTAGGATCTGTGAGCATAGGACTCTTTATTATTGGACTTCTATTTGCCTATTTAGTGTGTGTTTTTTTATTTGTTATTTTATTTGTACTTTTTATCATATTTGATTGTAATAGAATAAATATAAAATTTTTAATCTACACACCTAAGGCATTTTTTCCCTGCTACTTAAAAGAAGGAATGTGTTCCTTAACCACATATGCTATCAAATTTGAGTCTAAGTGGAAGGCTCAGGGTTTGTGAGTACGTTTTACCCTTATATTTCACTTTTTAAAGGAACATTACAATACTGTACCATATTTGTTCTCTTTTACGATTTGATACAGGATAAAGACATCAAGCCTATCTCCTAAAAGAAGGGAAAGGGTCGTCTCAACGGACCCCAAAAGTGCACTAATTGAGCTATATTCTTAGCTCAGAAAATTGTGAGTGGTGATTTGTCTTTATCTCTGAAATTCCACTTTACATACAGTCTATACTATGATGTGTTTCTATTTTATGTTGTGAAATAAGTAGGACTTCATCTGGCCATCTCAGGGGCACCCATTCATTGTGGTGCCTGGCTAGGAGGCTAAAAGGAAAGCCCCATTTGTATGGGATATTCCGGTCACGTAACAGGAACATCACGGGCCTCAGCGCTCTGTGGGCTTCTAGTGTTAAGGACGACAGATCCTGGAACAGGGTTACCACAGCCGCAAGGTTTTGCTATGAGGGTCTGGTTATAGCTTTTTGCATAATCTTATCCTTGACAGAGTATGACTGTAAGCAGCAAATTATATCACGCAGAGTTCCTTCATCCAGTTTGGGTTGTGTCGCCCTGTGCTCTCTATCAAATTCAATGCGATCGGGCGCATCCGTGCTTAATATCTCCCTGAAGAGAGTCCCTAATGTGCTTGCAACATCTTCGGTACCCTGTGGTTCTGGCAGGCCTCGGATCTGAATATTGGATCTGCGGCCCTTGTTGTCCGGATCTCCAGTTTTCCACCTGAGTGCTAGCAGCATATTCCCTTATCTCGTCAGGGCGACGCTAGAGGTTTCATTGAGCGCCTGTAGGGACTGCGCCGAAGGCTTCCAGAAGCCTGTATGCGACTCCCCTGGGATGCCATCTCCTTCCTCAACGTGGCCACTTCTGTGCGAATAGCTGCATGAATATCTGCTGATAAGGTGTGCTGGTCCAACTTGGTGACCATGTTGGTGGGTAGCGCTCTGAGGTTGGAGCTTATATCTGACAATGTTGGGCGGCCAGTCTCCGAGTTGGGTGAGGGCGCCGGGGAGTTGGCCATGTTGGGGCCTAGCACCTCTCAAGCTGAATCCTGCAGTGTTTGCAGGAATCCGTCCATAGAGCCTGGTTGAGACGGTCCTGGGTTGTTCCTCTGGGTCTGGCCGGTGTCCGGGCATTTTATGTGTCCCATTTGTCACTATTGCGGAGGGCAGAGTGTGCTTTTAGCAGCTTCGTGCGTGAGAGCTGCAAGATCAAGCTGCCATTACTGTTGGTGTCCAGACCACGCCTCCTAGTATAAACAATTGATATTTACAAGTAGAGGGCCATGCCAGGCTTTATGTTTAAAGCTCCAGGGTGCCTATCAAGGCATAGGATCCCAATTACCAGGAGGCCACATGATACTGGTAAAACTGATGATTTATTTAGACACAAAAATATAAATGAATATAACCATATATATATATATATATATATATATATATATATATATATATAAATATATATATCCTATATATATATTTGCAGTGTAATCAATGGAATACTTGCTACACCAGACGGTAGTCATTGCTCTATAGACAAAATACAGCAAACGCGCTTCGATTCAACGATCTTCCTCAGTGCTGGTAAGTTTGTCTTTTGTGTTATTTATGTTGATGGTGATAGGGGAACATATTTTGTATTTTATATTTCTATTATTACTACTAGTATTTTCTAATATTTTAATATGCCATTATATTCAACACGGTATAACACAAAGCATGTTTCAAATAAAAAAAATTATATTACAGTGAACATTCAGTTAAATTTGGGGGGCCAATAGACTGCTTGCCCGAAGTCCATATCTCCGAAGTGCCATGAGGAAGTAAAGCTGCAATGTGCAAAAATGTTCAGATGCTTAAAAAATTCACATTCCAATAAAACAGAATAGAGATTAATGTGCTTAATAGATATATTTTTAAGGGAGGGCAAATAAGCATCGATGGAGTTGGAGACAAGCAAAATCTCTCACTAGATCAGGATTCCCCTTTCCAGCAGAAAAAAAACCTATAGAGTTTCCAGAGTTCCAAAAGCATTCTTCTCCAATTCTGAGTAAAGCCATCCAAGGCTAGTGAGTCTGAATTTGATCAATTATAAGACTGTGGAAGTGGGAAGTTCCAATATTTTTAGAAAAATACCTGAAATACCAATCTGCCGGCCTTAGGCCTTTGGGTGCCCTGTGCTAAAAATCTTCACAGCACCCCCACCTTCCTGCCCCCCCATCCCTCCACTCCTTCCCTCCCCTCTTTCCCCCTTCCCACACACCCAGTCACACACACAGGCAGACAGCCATACACACACACACACACACACACACAAACACACGCAGGCAGTCACACACAGACAACCACACACAAACACACACACACACACACAGACATAGAATGTGACAGCAGATGAGAACCATTTGGCACATCTAGTCTGCCCAGACAGTCACACATAGGCAGTCTCACACACACACAGGCAGACAGCCACACACACACATAAACACACACAGGCAGACAGCCACACACACACACAGGCAGGCAATCACACACAGACAGTGACACACAAACACACAAGCAGATAGCCACACACACAGACAATCACACACACAGACAGTCACACACACAAACAGTCACACACACACACACAGACAGTCACACACACACAGTCAAACACACAGAGAGTGACACACACACAGACAGTCACACACACACATAGGCAGACAGCCACACACACACACACACACACAGACAGACAGTCACACACACACACACACACACACACACACACACACACACACACACACACACACACACACACACACACACACACACACACACACACACAGGCAGACATAGAAACATAGAATGTGACGGCAGATAAGAACCATTCGGCCCATCTAGTCTGCCCAGACCGTCACACATAGGCAGTCATACACACACACACACACAGGCAGACAGTCACACACACACACACACACAGGCAGATAGTCTCACACATGGGCAGATGGTCTCACACACAGGCAGACAGTCATACACACAGACACACAGACAGTCACACACACACAGGCAGAGACATACTAGGAATGGCAGATGGATTACTGTAGGATCTGGTAGACTTAGAACTGTGGATAAAAGGAATTTTGCACAGTCTGTTGCTCTTCATAATTCATTTTCTGCACTTTCAGAGTGTAATGGTGTTGTGGAGAGAGGCACTGAGGCTAGTGGTGTTGTGGAGAGAGGCACTGAGGCTAGTGGTGTTGCGGAGACTGGCTTGGAGACTATGGTGAGGCTTAATAGAAAGCAGTTGCTGGGGGATTCCATTATAAGAGGTGAGGAGATGGACAATGGTGGTCTTGTGAGGTGTCTTCCCGGAGCTACTGCTCACAGAGACAGGAGACGTATCTGTAATATTGTTAAGCAAGCAAAGCAGGAAGGGGAATTGGATGTACGTGTCCATCTAGGGACAAATGGCTTGGCTTGCAATAAGGTTTCAGAGGTTAAGGAAGTTTTTAGTGTTTTTGCCAATGATGTACGGCAGGTTGCTTCCACACTGTCATTCTCTGAAGTTCTGCCTGTGCATAACACTCAGAACGACAGGCGGATGCGTATTAGGGACTTTAATTTGTGGCTTGGTGAATGGTGTCGGGAGCAAGGATTTGGCTTTATTTCTCATGGTAGCTCTGTTTGGAATGGAGATAAGCTGTACAAAAAGATGGTTTGCATCTTTCTCAAAAGGGAACAAATGTTCTCAGTGAGCAGTTCAGAGGTTTTGCTAGGATGTATTTAAACTAGGAGGGGGGGCAAAAGGGTGATAAAACATCAATCCAATTGTCCCCCAAAACAAGGACAGAAGGTGCCTGTAACAAGTGTGTTAAAAAATAAGCTTAGAGTCATGTCTACAAATGCTCACAGTTTAAGGAATAAGATCCATGAACTTGTGGCAATAATGGCAACTGATAGTGTAGATTTAGTCGCTGTTACTGAGACATGGTATAATGAGAAAAATTACTGGGACATAGCAATACCAGGGTACTCTTTATATAGGAAAGATAGGGAAGGCAAGAAAGGGTGAGGGGTGGCATAAAATCTAGCCTAATAAAAGTTAGTGAGGCAAACATAGAGTCCGTTTGGGTTACGTTAGAATTTGGTAATCACACAGTAACTCGTGTAGGTGTGATTTATAGACCCCCAGGACAAATTGAAGAGTTAGATAATCTACTAGTTGAGGAAATAGCTAAAATGACAATGAAGGAGGAAGTTATCATCACTGGTGACTTTAATCTTCCTGATGTAAATTGGAAAACAAAATTAGCTACTTGTGCCAGGAGCACACATATTCTAAACTCCCTACTGGGATTGTCTCTAAAACAAGTTGTTGAGGAGCCAACTCGTAAAGAGGCCATACTAGATTTAGTGTTAACATATGGAGATTTGGTATCAGATATTACTGTAGGTGAAAGTTTAGGATCCAGTGATCATCAGTCAGTGTGGTTTAATATAAGAACAGTGACTGAGTCACACCACACAAAAACATAAGTTTTAGACTTTAGAAAAACAGACTTTTCTAAAATTAGAATATGGGTAGAGGAGTCATTATCAGACTGGAGCAATTTAAATGGAGTCCAAGAGAAATGGGATTATTTAAAAGTTGCACTATTGAAGGCAACAGAAAATTGCATTAGGCTTGTCAGTAAAAGCAAGAAATTCAAGAAACCACTGTGGTACTCCACAGATGTTGCCAAAATAGTTAAAAACAAAAAGTTAGCATTAAGGAATTATAAAAAAAAACCAGAGTGAGGAAGACAAAATGAACTATAAGATTAGGCAGAAAGAGGCTAAGCAAGTTATAAGAACTTCCAAATCACACAAAGAAGAGAAAATAGCACAGTCAGTAAAAAAGGGGGATAAAACATTTTTTAGATACATAAATGAGAAAAGAAAAGTGAAACAAGGATTAGTTAGATTAAAAACAAAAGAAGGAAGGTATGTAGAAGAGGATAAAGGTCTAGCTTACTGCCTCAATTAATATTTTTGTTCTGTATTTACAGATGAAAATGAAGGAAAGGGACCTCAGTTGAGAAAAAGGATAAATGAGTCATTTATTACACGTGAGTTTACAGAGGAAGAGGTTCTATTTCAACCGTCAAAAGTAAAGACAAATAAGTCAATGGGACCTGATGGAATACACCCAAAGCTATTAAAAAAGCTTAGTGGTGTACTAGCAAAACCATTAACAGATTTATTTAACCAATCATTGTTAACAGGAGTAGTCCCAGAAGATTGGAAGTTAGCGAATGTTGTGCCCATTTACAAGAAAGGTAATAGGGAGGAGTCGGGCAACCATAGGCCAGTAAGCCTTACTTCAGTAGTGGGGAAAGTGATGGAAACCATGTTAAAGGATAGGATTGATGAACATCTAAAACACATGGATTTCAAGATCAGAGACAACATGGGTTTACTTCAGGGAGATCATGCCAAACTAATCTTATTGATTTTTTTGATTGGGTAACTAAAATTATAGATCAGGGTGGTTCAGTAGACATTGCTTACCTAGATTTCAGTAAGACTTTTGACACTGTTGTACATAGAAGGCTTATCAATAAACTGCAATCTTTAAGTTTGGATTCCAATATTGTTAAATGGGTAAGGCAGTGGCTGAGTGACAGGCAATAGAGGGTTGTAGTTAATGGAATATATTCGAAGCTTGGACTTGTCACCAGTGGGGTACCTCAGGGATCTGTACTTGGACCCATTCTCTTTAATATTTGTATTAGTGATATTGCAGAAGGTCTTGATGGTATGTCTTTTTGCTGATGATACTAAGATATGTAACAGGGTTGATGTTCCAGGAGGTGTAAGCAAAATGGCAAATGATTTAGGTACACTAGAAAAATGGTCAGAATTGTGGCAACTGACATTTAATGTGGATAAGTGCAAGATAATGAATCTTGGATGTAAAAACCCAAAGGCAGAGTACAGAATATTTGATAGAGTCCTAACCTCAACATATGAGGAAAGGGATTTAGGGGTGATTATTTCTGATGACTTAAAGGTCGGCAGACAATGTAACAGAGCAGCAGGAAATGCTAGCAGAATGCTTGGTTGTATAGGGAGAGGTATTAGCAGTAGAAAGAGGGAATGCCATTGTACAGAACACTGGTGAGACCTCACTTGGAGTATTGTACACAGTACTGGAGATCATATCTTCAGAAGGATATTGATACTTTAGAGAGGGTTCAGAGAAGGGCTACTAAACTGGTTCATGGATTGCGGGATAAAACTTAACAGAAAAGGTTAAAGGATCGTAACATGTATAGCTTGGAGGAAAGACGAGACAGAGGGGATATGATAGAAACATTTAAATATATAAAGGGAATCAACACAGTAAAGGAGGAGACTCTATTTAAAAGAAGAAAAACTACCACAACAAGAGGACATAGTCTTAAATTAAAGGGACAAAGGTTTAAAAATAATATCAGGAAGTATTACTTTACTAAGAGGGTAGTGGATGCATGGAATAGCCTTCCAGCTGAAGTGGTAGAGGTTAACACAGTAAAGGAGTTTAAGCATGCGTGGGATAGGCATAAGGCTATCCTAACTATACGATAAGGCCAGGGACTAATGAAAGTATTTAGAAAATTGGGCAGACTAGATGGGCCGAATGGTTCTTATCTGCCGTCACATTCTATGTTTCAAACACACAGACAGTCACACACCCACACACACACAAAAAGACAGTCGCACACACAGGTAGACAATCACACATAGTTACCTCTGTTCCTTGTGGAGGCAGACAGGCAGTGCAGCTCCTGGATTCTGGTTGTTGGAGGAAGCAGAGACTCCTTCCTGCTTCCCCTGCAGCAGTTACACGGCAATTTTAGCTCCCCCCCGCCGCATGGTAAGCCCAACCCTTGCCGCACAGTAAGCACTGCCGCAATTTTTTTTTTTTTTATCCCAGGCCGGCCATGTGTGAGCTGTGTCGGCCGCAGGGCGCCCCCTGCTTCATGGCGCCCTGTGCAGCCGCACACCTTGCACACCCCTAAGGCCGGCCCTGTTTGGGACTACAGTTTTATTTTTCTTTGGAAAGAATATATTTGCTCTGAAATCAGAACTCTATTATTTTAACAGATACTCTCATTGTGTTGTATAGACATTACTCAGAACCATATGGTACTCTTAGTTGTAATTATAGACTTTGAATACACACTTACAGACACACAAAAAACATGTGTATGTATGTCATTTTATCTACAGCGGATCTGGAAATATAGAAAAATGTTTACACAGTAAACCAAGTTATGTTATTTGTTAATTCTCATGGAAATGATGGTGCCACACCAACACATATTTGACAAAAAAAAGTTGCACGCTGTAATGGAGGACATGTGTTGCATCAAAGTTCTTGCAACATCTTCTAGCATTGTCAGATATTTTTGAGAATCTACAAAGCTGATTAATTAACAAGTGAAACTGTTCTCCTCATGTTTACTCATACTGATTAAAATATGTATTACTGGACTGATTTATCTGGACCTGATTCATATAAGATAACTTCAATGCTTCATGCCCTGTATTTGTGCAGTATTCTCCAAACACATTTTCAGTGTTAATATAACTGGGTTTTTTAGATATATTAGAAAAATCAAATATCTCTCTTGTCTCACTAAAACATATGTTTTTACACGGATGTTGTGATGATATACAAACATATGGGTACTGCTGAGTAAGACTGCATTTCATAGTTTTAGTTGCATAAGTTGGGTTTTTGAGTTCTACATTTTTGTCTTGACGGTCAAGAAGATGGTCATCCTTCTTCAGTTCGCAGTTAACATATTCATTCCTCACTGGCTCATTTGAGACATATCGTTTGTACTGGAGACTTTGAGGACTGCCCTCTTTTGCTTCAAGTATGTGTCTAGTGAGCACCATACTCTCAAATGTTGATGGTATAATTATGGTTTCATCTCCTCTATGCATACTTGTCTTTGAATTAAATGCTTGCAAAATCTGTTAAAAAAAATATACAACATTTTGGATTGACAAAGGATCAAATGGGATCAACCTCTGATTTCGGGAAGAAGAAATATAAAGTGAATACACACATGTACAGATAATTTATACTGCATCTTGAGAAATAGCTTTTCAAAATAGATGTGGCATCTTAAAGGTCAAAACCTGCACAATGCTATATATCGGAGATACTGTCTAAAAGGATTTGTACAAATCGTAAGTAAAGAATACATGGAAAGTAGATAAAACAATTACAATATTACGCCACAGAACTTGTATTTATGTATAATTTTAAATGATCAATATATTGTCACTACCTCAACCTTGACTTGGTGTTACATTTGACTACAGGTCTCGATTTTTCTCCCCACATCCAGCCTCTCTCCAAATCTTTTAATTTACCCCTTAAAACCATGTATTTGCCCCCTAACTGATGAAAGATGCAAATAAGGCACATGTTCTGCACTTATTGCCAACCTTGATTACTGTAACTCACTCATTCTTTGTCTTTTCACAACCTACAATATCTATGTCAATAACAAATAAATGTTGCTACCTTATCTACTATTACTCTTATACCTTATCCACTATTACTCTCACAACCATCTGACAATCCATACATTGACTTCCTATGTCCTTTAGGATTCAATTTCAATTACTAGCACTAACTTACAAACCTTTCAACCACTCCACCCTTCTTATTTTTCATCTCTAATTCACATGTACAGCTCTTCTTCTTCCTTCCACTCTGTAAGCAACTTTCTCTTATCCTGTTTCTACCTGCATTGCTAATTCTCAATAGAAGGACGTCTTAAAGTGCTGCACCGTTCCTATGACGTGCCCTTATACTACCAGACTACCTTTAGGTGACTGCTGAGTAAGAGGCAATCTTTCTTCTCCATGCAAGTTGTATTACATTCATACAGTGTAGACTGTAAACTGACTTTACCTGGATTAATCCTAAACTGAACAAAATCTAACTTCTCTTACTTCGAAGCTTGTATCTGCCCTCCAACCTTTCTTAGTTGGCTTGTGATATTGAAGATGGATAGTATAGGAGCAATAGGGAAGTATTGGTTAATGTGTCATTATTCCCATATAGTCAAATAGCCAACATTTAAAGGACCACTATAGTGCCAGGAAAACATACTATAGTGCCCTGAGGGTGCCCCCACCCTCAGGGTCCCCCTCCCGCCGGGCTCTGGGGAGAGGAAGGGGGTAAAATCTTACCTTTCTCCAGTGCAGGAGCCATGCGCACATTCAGCTAGTTCATAGGAAAGCATTTACATGATTTTCACAGTGAGAAGCACGCAAGCGCCTCTAGCGCCTGTCAAGAGACAGCCACTAGAGGCTGGATTAACCATATTATAAACATAGCAGTTTCTCTGAAACTGCTATGTTTATATAAAAAAAGGGTTAATCCTAGATGGACCTGGCACCCAAACCACTTCATTAAGCTGAAGTGGTCTGGGTGCCTATAGTGGTCCTTTAAGTGATACAGGCAAGATCAATGAAGGCAAGATATTTATGCTATTTGATAAACATATTCTGTGTAACTTTAATTCTTCATCATCGGAAATGGATGATAGTGTATATTTCTCAGACTTAGTTTTCATAACTTTGAAGACTTACCAGATTTGATGGAAGGTGTGTTTTGGGATGTAACACATATTTATACAATGCCAAATAGACTCCCAGCATCGAGATAGCAAACACTGTCACAATAACGAATGCTACTGATCCTACGAGGATTTCTTTGAATATTGTACCTAAAAGAAATATTCACAATATTTAACGAAAAACTGTCACTTCCCATGATTTTAACAATATATTTGTATTTGGAAGTGTAAACGTTGAATTAACTGTAGAAATCTACACCTCTTTATTCTGCATCTTGGCTCCTCCATGCTAGCTTTCTGTCAATCATTGTTCTCACAAGTGCGCTCAATGTGAACAGTAAGTAGCGCTTCAAAATCACCGTGTGAATAGCTGCTCTTAAACACCCGTAAGGGCATACCTTTCTTCCATCACCATAAATAGATAGAAAAAAAGGATTAACAGGATAAACCCTATAATCAGTGGGTGCTGAATAGTAGACAAGCAGATAATAGCTTACCCCTTTGTATGGTTATATAAATCTCGATGTGGAGTGATATATAAAAGAGAAAAAAAACATAGAACAAATCTAGTGCAGATGGTATTTGCAATATACTAGAAGCAAAATAAATAAAGGTAGACACACTCACAATCTTCAGAGCCTGTGGATAAGGCTGCATAATAACGCAGCCGTGCTGTTATAGGTAGCACCCCACCTTCTTGGATAAACAGGGATCTCGAGACAAGAAAAACAGGAGATTATGATGCAGTATGTCTGTGCTTATAATAAGCTAAAATCACTTTATAATTGAGGACTCTCACCCTCAATAAGAGCCTATATGTGCCTTGGCTTTCAGGTGTAAATGCCTAGTGTAAATTTGTGGGGTGAGACTCCCCTATCTGAAACCTGGAATGGGACAGACTACCAAAGAGTACTAAAATCCACTATTTATTAATATAAAATCAAAGGTGAATAAAAATACATAAAATTAAAAGGGACTTATCAGTGCATGGTAGTACAGTCCTTGTATGCCAAAACGCATTTCGCTGTGAAAGCTTCTTCAGTTGGTTGTGAAAATACCATCTGCACTAGATTTGTTCTATGTTTTTTTTTCTCTTTTATATATCACTCCACATCGAGATTTATATAACCATACAGAGGGGTAAGATATTATCTGCTTGTCTACTATTCAGCGCTCCGATTATAGGGTTTATCCTGTTAATCATTTTTTTTTCATTGTTCTTAGTTCTATCTAATTATGCATCTGGTAGTTATCATATAGAAAGTATATATGTTTATAATTATTCTCTTCATTTGCTTGTCAGAACTGGATTATGCTGTAATTTGCTAAATTGCTAATATATATATATATATATATATATATATATATATATATATATATATATATATGTAAAGAAAAACAGAAATTTATGAAAAATGATTAACCCCTTAAGGACGCATGACGGTTCAGGACCGTCCTCGGCATTTTTGCGTTGCCGACCGAGGACGGTCCTGAACCGTCCTAACGGAAAACGGGCGGCGGGAGCGATCAGAGATCGCTTCCGCCGAAATCCCGTTGTTACCATCTGCCCGGCATCCCAGGCAGATAGTAACAGCCAATTACGGCGTGTGAGCGATCCGCGATCGCTCACAATTGGCTGGTGTCAAAGTGGGTGTTACAAACACTCACTTTGACACTGATCTCTGCCTCTCTCCTCTCTGTAGCGTTTTGTGAGAGGAGAGAGACAGAGATCCTGATAGTTTGTTGCAGCAGCTGTTCCTGTGAAAATTAAAAAGTATCTTCAGTTAATAAAAATCCTATTTTAACCCCTTCCCTGCCAGATCTGTTACAGACAGTGCATTTTTACTGTCTGTATTTTTTTTTTGCCCTTAAGGGTTAACTTTATTTTAAAAAATCTGTGTCTTAGACTGTCTTAGACTGTCTTAGACTGTCTTAGACTGTCGTAGTCTGTTTTAGTCTGTTTTAGTCTGTTTTAGTCTGTCGTAGTCTGTTTTAGTCTGTCATAGTCTGTCATAGCCTGTCGTAGTCAGTCAGTTTCCTTCCCCCAAATCTCCATTAGATTCTTCTAACAGGAGTTAGTTTAGGGATTACTGTTTTAGTCTGTTTTAGTCTGTTTTAGTGTTTTAAAAAAATAAAATAAAAAAAATAAAAATATTGTGTTTAGTATTTTGTTAGTTTAGTCTGTTGGTGTGAAACATGCAGCGCATGTACAGCTTGGAGGAGGCATATGCCTTCTTGGCGTCAGACTCTGACGCCACTGACACTGCGTCCGATTTTGACCCAGGTCAGTTTAGCGGCACGTCTAGTGACATGTCATCTGTGAGTGAGCCAGCTGCTAAAAGAAGCTGTGCTTCCCCTGCTACGCTGAATGTGGAGGAGGACTGGGTACCTCCACAGTTAGCTGAGCCCAACATCCCCCCTTTTAGTGCCAACGCAGGCATTAATGTGAATGTGGTTGACTTCTCCCCTATACAATATATGGAGTTATTTTTAGGGGATACCATCTGGGAGGAGATTGCTTCCCAGACTAATTTATACGCCAGCCAATTTATTGAGACCAATCCAGGTAGCTATACAGTCAGGGAGCATGCTTGGCATCCCACAGATGTCCCTGAACTTAAAACATTCTGGGCTCTTACCATGCTCATGGGGATAATAAAAAAGCCATCAATCCGGTCTTACTGGAGCACCAACCCAATTTGTTCGACTCCTATATTCTCCCAAACAATGCCTAGACCAAGATATGAGCTGCTGCTCAGATACTTACATTTTAACGACAATACGCTCTGTCACCCCAGAGATCACCCCGAATATGATAGGCTTTATAAAATACGCCCACTGGTAGACCATCTTCAGAACAGATTTTCTGAAGTTTATACTCCCCAACAAACTTTATCCATCGATGAATCCCTTATGAAATACAAAGGGAGATTAGGGTTCAAACAATATATCCCCTCAAAGCGGTCTAGGTATGGCATTAAAGTGTACAAACTTTGCGAGAGCGAAAGTGGCTACACATTTGCCTTCCGTGTATACGAGGGGAAAGATGCTCAACTGAACCCTCCTGGCTGTCCTGACTCTCTGGGGACAACTGGGAAACTTGTTTGGGACCTACTGAACCCTTTGTTCAATAAGGGTTACCACCTTTATGTGGACAATTTTTACAGCAGTGTCCACTTGTTTAAAATTCTTTATAGTTTACAGACACTGGCCTGCGGCACTGTAAGAAGAAATGCCAAGGATTTTCCCAGACCTCTCATAGAGGCCAAATTAAAAAAAGGGGAATGCAAAGCTCTGCGCAAGGCTGAACTGCTTGCGCTAAAATTTAAGGACAGGAAGGATGTTCACATGATAACAACCATCCATAACGAGGGCATGTCAGACGTCACTGTCCGAGGCAGGGTACAGACAAAACCGGTGTGCATCAGGGCTTATAACAGGCACATGGGGGGTGTTGATTTGGCTGATCAGCTGATGCAGCCTTATCTTATCTTAAGAAAGACAAAAGCCTGGTATAAAAAGGTGGCTATCTACCTGTTGCAAGTAGCAACACATAATTCATTTTTACTTTTTAAAAAAAATTAATCCAGGAAGAACCACCTATCTCCAATTTCAGCTCAAGCTGATTTCCACAATAATTTATGGAGATGGTCAAGTTCCAACGACAGTGCAAGAGTCGTCTAGACATTTTATTTTTAAGATACCGCCAACACCAAAAAAAAGAAACCCCCAGAAACGTTGCCGGGTCTGTTATAAAAAAGGGAAAAGGACAGACACCCCTTTTCACTGTCCCGATTGCCATACAAAACCTGGACTGTGTATTGGAGAATGTTTTAAGGTCTACCACACAGAAAATACATTTTTATAATACTTGTTCCTGATTTATTTTTTTTGTTTATTTTGAAAGCAGCAAATTTCTGTTAGTCAGTATCCTTCCCCCAAATCTCCAGTTAGATTCTTTTTGCAGGAGTTAGTTTACAGATTGCTGCTAACAGAAGTTTTAGTCTCATTTAGTCTGTTTTTATCAGTTTTAGTCTGTTTTTAGTATAAAATAAAAAAAAATTGTGTGTTAGTAACTCTGTGTTAGCCAGACTCTGACGCCACTGACACTGCGTCCGATTTTGACCCAGGTCAGTTTTCTGACATGTCATCTGTGTGTGAGCTGGCTGCAAAAAGAAGCTGTGCTTTCTCTGCTACGCCGAATGTGGAGGAGGAACAGGTTTCTCCACAGTTAGCTGAGCCCCAAATCACCCCTTTTAGTGCCAACACAGGCATTAATGTCAATGTGGATGACTTCTCCCCTATGCAATATATGGAGCTATTTTTAGGGGATACCATGTGGGAGGAGATTGCTCCCAGACTAATTTATATGCTACCCAATTTATTGATACCAATCCAGATAGCTATGCAGTCAGGGAGGAGTGTGCTTGGCATCCCACAGATGTCGCTGAACTTAAAAAATTCTGGGCTCTTACAATTCTCATGGGGATTATAAAGAAGCCATCAATTTGCTCTTACTGGAGCACCAACCCAATCTGTTCTAGTCGAGTGTACTCTCAAACCATGTCTAGAACAAGATTTGAGCTGCTGCTGAGATACTTACATTTCAATGACAATACCCTCTGTCACCCAGAGATCACACCCAATATGATAGGCTTCATAAAATACACCCACTGGTAGACCATCTTCAGCACAAATTTACTGAAGTTTATACTCCTCAAAAAAATGTATCTATTGATGAATCGTTAATGAAATATAAAGGGAGATTAGGATTCAAACAATACATCCTCTCAAAGCGCTTTAGGTATGGCGTAAAATTCTACAAACTGTGCGAGAGCGAAAGTGGCTATACATTTGCCTTTCGTATATATGAGGGGAAAGATGGTCAACTGGACCCTCCTGGCTGTACTGACTCTCTGGGGACAAGCGGGAAACTTGTTTTTGACTTACTGATCCCCTTGTTCAATAAGGGTTACCACCTTTATGTGGACAATTTTTATAGCATTGTCTGTTTGTTTCAAACTCTTTAGGGTTTCTAGATACTGGCCTGTGGCAGTGTGAGAAGATATGCCAAGGATTTCCCCAGACCTTTAATAGAGGCCAAAAAAAAAAAAAAAAAGTGAATGTAAAGGTCTGCACAAAGCTAAAGTGCTTGCAATAAAATTTAAGGACAGGAAGGATGTTCACATAACGAGGGCATGTCAGACGTCACTGTCCGAGGCAGGGTACAGACAAAACCGGTGTGCATCAGGGCTAATAACAGGCACATGGGGGGTGTTGATTTGGCTGATCAGCTGATGCAGCCATATCTTATCTTAAGAAAGACAAAAGCCTGGCATAAAAAGGTGGCTATCTACCTGATGCAAGTAGCAACACATAATTAATTTTTACTCTTT